AGACAGGACTTGACCTGTACGGTGGGGGGCTTAAGCCCCTGCAGTCTCCCCGCTGGCGCCGCCACTGCACTGGGGACCGTCTGTACAAAATCTTATATTGCATACACTTCCAAAACGATAATTAATTTTTAAAATTTACTTTATATCATTGGCTGCAATGTGCTGACGTTATGTTTTTTCCTTTATAGACATTTATCATATTGGTGCTTATGACTCTAATGTCATTAATTATATTGAACAGGACAACAATTCAGGAAATTTACGTTGACACCATCCACGATGTAAACTTAAACAGGTATCGGTGAGTGTCTAAATGGTACCGTGCGGTTTGAGACTACATTTAGTCTGTACACTAGCTAATGTATATGATATTCTTTAACGTTTTTTTTTTGTTGTTCAATAATTAATTCTATACTTGGTAGATCATAGAATGCAGCGCACTAAATGAAAATAATTTTATCACCAATTTTGTCGAATATGCACCATTTAGAAGTTGCGAAATTGCGCAGAGATCACATGCAATTTCATTGATTATTTAAGACTGTCTTTTACAATCCTAATCTTCTTTATCTAATATTAAAATTAACTGAAATAACTGCATTCTATCTCACTAGTTGAATATCTAGGCCAAAAACATAATTAACATCTGACACATTTGTCACTGTTGTTGAGAATACTGTCGGCAGAGTTTTACCCCGCACGTTGAGACAAACTGGGCTAACATATCTGACGCCACTTAATCAATTCAGTATTAACAAAATATTTACTGCAGTTTAATGCTGAAATTTGCCCGAACTGTATTATTGCTTTCTATACAGTAGTTGATTTTGCTGATACATTCAATTGAATTTATTGATATTTACCCAGTCGAATCAGTTTTATGATATGCAAAAAAGGCATATATTTGGAGAATAATTGTTTTTTCGGTAAAAAAATATATCAATAAAACAAAGAAATATTTGAACAACTTACTTTTTTACCAAAAAACCTAGGAATGTTCCGAGTTGTGAGCCGAAGAAAAGCATTGCGTTTCTGAAAACGCATAAAACTGGTAGCACAACTTTAGCAAGGATAATCGAACACTACGCACTTGTGAACAAGCTCGACATTGTAAGAAAAGCAGGTGAAACAGCTTATTTACATTATACCAATCAGAATTTTGATTTCAACTCAAAGAAGAATTTTTTGCCCCCAAAGGGCGTCATGTATGGGGACTACAATAACTACACTTACAACGTATTTACACTACATGCTCGATACGACAGACCGGTTTATGAATCATTTATGGCGAAAGACTCAATTTATATTACTTTATTACGTAATCCAGTGACACAATTTGAATCTACATTTGATTACTTTAAAATAGGATCGATTATTGGAAAAGGAAAGGATAATATGAGTAAAACAAGAAAATTGGAAATGTTTCTTAGTAACTCGTCATATTATTGGGAAAAGTTATCTTCATCGAAACAAAAACGATCTTTTAATAATCAAATTTGGGATTTGGGCGTCGATCCAGGGGAATGTAGCAACGAACTTTTAGTGAATTACACCATCCGAAAACTTGACAATGAATTTGATTTTGTAATGATAACAGAAATGTTTGACGAATCATTACTCGTTTTGAAGAAAAAGCTCTGCTGGAAGTTTCATGACATTTTGTACTTAAGACGCAACCAACGATCTGAACGTATTTCGTTAAATGAGAAGCTCAGGAAAAAGATTGCCGAATGGAACTCTATCGACATGAAGCTCTATGCTCATTTTAAAAAACGTTTGCAAGACCATATCGATAACTATGGCCCAACATTTGAAGCTGATTTAGCAGCGTTCCGTAGCATGATTTCATTTGTATATGAACAATGCGTCCTTACCGAAGAAGTTAAAACACCAAAGAAAAAAATTAGATACAACACAAAGACTGGTAACCTTACAAGTGAAATTTGCAAAAGGGTTGACACGTTAGATGTATGTGATTTTGGCGATGGGTACATTCTATCACTCGATTTAATATCAGTATGTAAGGATGTTACGTCCCACGATGCACATTTAAATCGTTCCATTAGAAAGATGATGAAAGGAACGTGGCCTCTCACGTCATCGCAAACAAGTTAAGTTCTATGCACAGTATCGAATTGTACGTGACAAATTTGTGTAATGTGCCCATATATGGGCATGATGATGTCATACGGTATTACACCTAAATATGGGCTTGTCGCATTTATTTGTCACATAAATTTTGATAGTGAGGATGGAGCTCAAAAATCTTATAAACACAAGATAGCGTTCTCCGCGATATATCCACGTGCAAATTCTGTAATAACGCAGTGTACGGCGGAGCCCCCTTGCAAAAATGAAAACTTTTGAACTTTTACTGCTTTGACCATGGCGTACACCGCGCGAACCGACCTTTACGCGTAACAATTAGAAACGTCGATTATTACAATTAAGGAACAATAAACGTACTTGGTAATGAACGTTGGCGTAACACGAACACCTTATCTCAGATCTATGGCAACAAGGACACCCTCTCCCAAAAATGATTACTTTCTGTTGCCAAATCGACGCTTCTATTTGTTACGCGTAAATCCAGGAGAAAGCTATCTTGTGTTTATAAGATCTTTGATGGAGCTTTAAAAATTATGTTGTGATTAAAATCTAACAAAATGTCATTTTAAACAATCAAATAAATTAGCAACTTCCAAGAAAACACAGAGAAATTTTAAACAGAGTGCGTTGAGCCAGGGAACAGTGAAATTCACTGTTCCCTGGTTGAGCTAATCAACTTATTGAATCTCTATATAGAAAGAATATAGCATTCGATTAAAAAAATTTAAAAAGAAAATGGTTTTTCCTTGCTACTTAACAGAAGCATAATACAGTTCTAAATATTCTATTATGATTTAAGTCTGATTTAACGTCTGTTATTTAAACCAATTAAAACTGAGACAGTACCGCACATGCGCCAAACCAGAATTTAGAGTAGGCGAATTTGAGTTTACCACGTATTCCCAAAACAGGCTCACTACGTCTGCACACATTATTACTAACCCATAGAATTACAAATAAACTTCTTGTAGGCCTACTGTCTTTTAATATTCAAGTCTACAAAGTAATAGTACTCGATATTATAAGATAGTTAATATTCTTTTAATCCAATTTTCATTTTACTTTTTAGTGTTTTTAAAAATTAAATTTCAAATTTTTTTAGCCTGATATCTTTAAAGTGATTACAATAAAAAAGAGAGAAAGAAAGAGTAAATCCTTTCAGAGCCACTAGGACTCATATGGCTGGGGCAGATGCAGTGGGGGTGCAGATCGCATCACCCAAAATTGTATTAAGAAAATAATTTTATTGTTGATATGAACATAAGTCTTGTACCGGTAAGATTTTTAATGTATGAAAGTGCAATTTTCGGGCACCTAAAGGTCCATATTCTGAATTTGTTTTAATCTCATTCTTCTCACAATGTGTAACAAAATAAATAGGTCTAAACATGTAATGTGGAGTAATGTAATGTATGTAATGTAATGTAATGTATTTGAACATTGCGCCTTATAACGTATAAAGTAGAAGCGCTTGGTGTGTGGACTAGCTCATACATTAACTTGCTTTTCCCATAAGGATCTCTTCGTGCTTTAGCTACCCGGTACACCGGTACCAGCTCTCTCATCTGTCCAAATGTGGCAAATGTATTTGTTTTTATGTCATTCTGGGAGTTAGGTATAGTATTGATTCATATCATACACATCTTAATATCGACTAATTTCTTTAAAAAGTGGCCAAACTCAAACAAGATTTCCTTCATATTTTGGTAAACGATTACACTTTGGGTGAACATGAAAAAAAACCCCGAGATATTTTCAATAAAATTTACCTTGTTGCCATAATAACAGACATACGTTGTTTTCCCCCAAAAATACAACTAATTTTAACAATTTAGCAAATGATTTGACCCAAAACTAGATCTGATGCTCAGAAGAAAGAACGCCCTTCACATTTATTATCATGATATATGTTTGTTTGTACATGTAACTAGGTGAGTTTCATAAGCTTTTGCTTCTGAAATTCTCCTTTTCATTTTCTTATTCTTGTTCACTAAGATATGTTATGTTACTTTTAAAGTAAGAGAAAGGAAAGTAAGAAAAAAAGAAAGAAAGAAAAGGAATTAAAGTAAAATTCATATATAGGGAAACACGTATACAGCTAGTAGGCCTATCCTTATTTTAAGCTAAACGAATTATTTTGAACTTAATAGTAGGTAGAGCCGTATTAGTCAGATTGATGATGAAATAAAAACACTGGTGGCAATTTATAGATTCATTTAACCTATTTATTATACAATCTTTCCAGAGTATAAGGTGTTTCCATTTTATCAAATAATTAATAAAGCAAAATGTATAGATAATAACTTAAACGTACTTAATCGGAAAATCAATCGAGATAAAAACAGCCGTTTGTGTTTAGAGCCCATTCCAGACAATACAATTTTATTTTTACAAAAGCATGTCCCCTGTCCTAAATCCGCCTCTGGTAAAATTCACTTGTAAAAATGCCATGTGTTAACATTTAACACATGGCATTAGTTTTTTAATATTAAAATGCTGAACCCGCTCCATATCTCCTCTATCAATCATTTCCCACTTTCTCTGATTATCACAATTCATTTCCTTTTATATTTTCCTGGTCTATATTATTTAAATATTTACATTGTATGTATTTCCTTAGATTATAGAGAAAATATACATAGGGGCCTAAACTAATTTCTAAAGATCTTCAAAAATCACCGGTTCTATATCTGTATATTATTTCATTATTCCGCATCACGGATGTGTATAATAGGCATCTATCCAGACTGGGCCTACAAAAGTAGGCCTACAGGTTTAACGCTATAGGCCTACGTGTGGAAAGTGAGCCTAAGTCTCTGTCCACACTTAAATGTTCTTTGACAAAAATGTTGTATGCCTGTATATAGTCAGGATATGCCTATTATATTGTCATGATGTGATGTCATCATGACCATATTAGGGCATGTCATGTTTTTGTCAAATATAATTTGGTAGTCAGGAGGAGAGGGCTTAATCGATAAACACGCATTTAGAAATAAATGACGTCATAACAAAGATGAAGAGTTCACTCGCCGCTTACGATATATTTCAGAGACGTGTTGGTAAACACAGTAAACAGTGAACTGTTCCTGGTAATACAGTACTCTACTGATACAAATTGTGTAAAGTGGTATCGAACGTACTTAAGTTTAAAGAAATTTATCGATTCATTATCAACTTTCCTTTCATCCACCGTTTTGCTCACTTCGATCAGAGAGAAAATTATTGAAGAGAGGAGATCACATTTTATATGCAGTTGGGTATTATTCTGGTAACCTGAGATTATTTTCAAATAATCGACAATTTTGTTGTGGAATCCTGATTCAAAATCCGTCTTTCATCTGTACTTTTGCATTTTGCCTACTTAATTTCAGCGAAAGGTTATTGCAGGAAAGTTTGTCTAACAGGCCGAACAAAGTGCATTTTACCGGGCCTTATTCAAACAAATAAAATATAAATTTCAATTCGTGTGCAATAACGTTTGAATTAAACGTCTTAGGCCTATTTGGTTCCAACTTAAATAAAAGGAATGATGTCCACGAAAAGCACAAAGCAACTCTTAATGGTAAGTAAGTCTTTTATTTTGATTTTCAGTATGTAATTAGATTAATCGTAATATTAATTCAATATAATAATGAAACGCTGTCCAAATGCACATCAAATTGTAAATCAGCTTATTACAAATTATCTCTATGCGCTTGTTAGCAAGAGGTTATATAAAAAATAATACTGTACCTGTATTAATTGTTACGATTCTATGAAGGATATTCGATTTAATGATTTCAAAGACAACTTTTTTACCGTAGGATTTTAGCTGTTTTAATTGTTACACTTCTATATAGGCATAGGCCTATTAAATTTCAAAACAAAATTTAATGACAAAAAGGATCGACGTTTCGAGTCCATCATGAACCCATTTTCATTTATTAAAGTTTTTGAATAATAATCTAATGTTTTCATGTATTTGCTGTTTATATGTTTATCACCGTTTGTTTGTGGAATGGAAAAACCAATGAAAATTTAATCTGGAATGATACCAGTATTTCTCGGCTTTTGTGTTATCCATGGAAGCGTTATTTTTTTTTGTAACATGCATATTTTGTATTCATTTCTTTTGTTCTGGTATTATTTCAGAAAACTAAAATTAAATTATCTAAACGAAACCACACATTATCCTATAAACCAGGGCTTAAACTAATCAAATTTCTGCTTGGCAATTTGTTTATAGCGTTATAAACATGTTAACCATTAATCGTTGCCAAACCAAGAAAAACCAGACTAGCCTGTTTACACTATGAAGATAACGATCAACGACAAAAAGATAAAAAGCGCAATTGTTCATATAGAAAATTTTATAAGATAAAAAATTAATTTAAAAAATCGAATAAAATGACGTCATAATCATGGGGAAACGGTAAAATCGCTTTTACTACTACGATTTTATCGTTTTCCCATGATTACAACGTCATTCGATCTGATTTGCGAAAATATTATTTTTATCGTATACATGATAAATCATTATGCAACCGTGCAAGTGTGAAAACTTATTTCTTTTATATTCTATATGAACAATTATTTTGTAGCTTTTTATCCTTGATCGTTATCGTCATAGTGTAAACAGTCCTTAAGAGAGCAAAAACACCGACTCTTCTTGCATCTTTCTACCTTGGCGTTAGCCGTGTTTGCATTGGAATGATTTTAATAAACTAACCATTTTCTTGATCACGTTGACAAAAAATATCCATTGTAATAACCTGCGTAACATTCTACTTGGTCAAAGTGTAACCGAGTCGACATTGCCCAGGAAGAACAACTATGTTATTTTCTCAATCAGTTCAGAAGTCATCATGATGTTTTATAATAAAACCCGAAATATTGATATTGCTATGAACAAAATAATAATAATAATAATAATAACAATAATAATAATAATAATAATAATAATAATAATAATAATAATAATAATAATAATTATTATTATTAGGCCTATTGTTATTTATTTAGGCAAAAGATGCCATATACAAAATATAATACAAATCAGAAAAAAAAATCAAACGAAGTACATTAAATAGACCATAGTTATTAGCTGCCAGGAAAGCACAAAAGCAGCCTAAACCACATGTCGGTCTGAACAATAGATAATTGTTCATTTCGAACACCTGCTTAATATGAAATCATGAAAAAAATAACAATGAAGAAATAAGTTCATTTAGAATATGACTGTTTATTGCCCGGCTTATGAGTATTTCCAATTTATAAGTATTTCTATTTCATTTAAAATTTAACATATTAACGTTGAATTATCGATTTTATCCAACGGCAAGAGATATAATCGTGTTTCATGTGTAATCTCGTCGCTGAGGAAGCACACGCTACATGTCGTAAAATGTTAACTATTCGTTGGCCAAATACAAATTGGCAACAGCAGAGCACGTTTTTAGAAAGGTAGAGTTACTCTTCGTATCCAGGGTTGTCATTTTAGCCGTTTTGACGGCCAGATTTCTAAAATCTGGCCGTATAAAAATTCCCCTGGTCGTAACATTTGAAAAGTCGGATTGGCCGAATTTGTTTACTCATTTAAAAAAAAAATAATGAGCATTAAAGACCTGTTTTGGATATGTTGTTTTTGTCCATATGCTAAAATTCTATTTGATTGCAATTGCACCTTAGTTCCAGTTGTACTCGTACTAAAAACTATCCATGTTTCCTCTTTGGCCGAGTTGACATAAAAAGAGAGTTTTATTCAAAAGATTAGCGGTTGCATTTAATAATTTAAATTGTTCAGATGAAATTGATGACACTTTTTTTATGAAGTTTCGTTTAAGCTTATAAACGAAGTTTGTACCATTTTGTTTCTTTTATATGTTTTTCTTACAACCGGTTAGTTTGGGTTTCTCTCTGTTAATTAAGCATTGAATAAAATTAAATAAATAAAATAGTTTAATTAATTTATTATTTCATAGCCGTCGGAATCATTTTGTAAATGGTCCGGCCATTATAGTTATACGGAAGCGGGACTTAACAATTTGGTTGTTAAACTGCAGACCCACTACCCATATCTACAGATACAGGTTTTTAAATTTAGTGGGGGTCTGATAATATATCCACGACAGCCAACACTAGGTGAACAACTTGTTTGGAATCTCTGAATGCTAGGAAATAGATACTGACAACCTACTGAGCCGCTACCCCTTCCCTTTATAAGAATCTATACTCTCATGGCCGGAAATAGCAGCTGGAAAAACTGTAAAGCCTTTACCCCTCCCCATCATGTACATTGGTAGAACACAAAATTTAAAGTTAGTGGAACATGGTTGGGGCAGATGTGGGAAAAATTTGACAGTGGCGTAAACGCGTAAGTATATGTTTCCAGGGACTCTAGTTCGATAATACAGTCGGGGCTTTTGCATATAATTGGCCGAGTCTGATTAGGCTAACAAAGCTTTATTCAGTTAACAAAATTACTCCTTAATGAAGTAATCCATAGTAAAACCACTCCTGCCGAACACTATCCCTATATTTCTGAATCTAAAATTCTAAAACGTATGGTGAAATATTAATAATACGCTATAGATGACTGGAGTTGGTTTTTCCTCCATGAACAAATCCGAATAACAAAAAATAACAATGACTATTGTTTAGGCCTATTTGCAAAAAGTGCAGGTATGGTCAAATATTTAAAATATGCAAATATGTGTTATAAATACACAGTTTGCAATATACTATGCATTATATTAGGAAATAGGCCTACAAATTAATGAATACGGTTTCGAAAAACATACGGCTGATTCACATTTAATTACACTCAGGCCTACTTGTTAAATTTGCATTAATAAATTATTGATGACGCTCTAGATAAATTGTAGCACCACTATCACTGAACAACCGGTATACCTTACGCCACTGCCTCTAATGCCAATTGGCCGCTACCCCTCAAGAGGCAGACACAACACTTAACGTTAGTTGAGATATTGAATTCATACCTACCCCAGCCCAACCATGGTGAACAATTTTTGAAAATATGGCATCTGTAGATGCCCAGAAATAGAAGCTGGCAACATGCAAAGCAGCTACCCACATTCAACACCCATCATGCAGGGGAGGATTTAAAGCTAGTGGAAGTAGACTACTGTAGATACCATGAACATACTCACCCCAAAACATGTTATAAATAGTTAATTGCTATATTGGTACCTCTAGAGATTTTCAAAATCAATTTTAATTACTAGAATTAAGGATTGCCAATAAAGTTGAAATTATAGGCAATACAAAAACAAGAGAAGGGTGGATTTTTGTTTAAATATACAACATTAAAAAGATGTGAACAATAATACTAACTTCATATAGGTATCAGTGTATATTTATTTTAAAAAGTATAATAGAATTGAGAAAAAGTGGTCCGGCTAAAGCCGGTGCGGTTCCGACGGCCCTGTATTTCCCAATTGAATGTTAATGCTGGGCGCTCCTATGTTCTTAAGTAGATTGTCATAATGCTCGATGTGATCATTCAGGTTCAATCTTGCCTCCAATCTCCTTCAAAGTTACTCTGGAGTTGATTAACTCGACCTATATGAGAGTCATGAAGAAGTTGATTCTGATATCGACATGGATTTATTGTTTTAAGTACCGCAACAATAACTTTTAGAGGCCGTTTAGAGGGGATGCGAATGTGAATTGGGGGAAGGGGTCTCGATGATTAAGTGAGGTAATATGAGGTGAATTTTATCTGCTTGAGCGCGACTTTTGAATATTTTCAATGGGTGGGGGAAAGGGAAAATTTTTCAGGTGGTGCGCATCCTCGTGCACCCTCAGATATACCACTGCAACGTAGGTAAACCTACAACTAGGCCTATTGGAAGTTATATTTAATAATAAATCTTTCCAGATATTTTTGGTACTCGGTGCGGCGGCGTCTTTATTTCTATTGCATCCGACATCATATCCTGTGGTTTTTCGTGGTTCCAACAGTCAGAACCGAAAAATAAACAGGTATACACAAACTCTTATTTGTTATTAATTATTATTTATATAAATTACGGTATTTAGGCCTATTAGGTGTATTTATTATTATTGTTGTCGTTGTATTCATTATTAGTCTACAATAATAATGATGATGATAATAAAAATAATAATAATAACAAAGAAAATAAAAGAGGGGCAAATTAGAGATTACCATTTCATATGAAAATATAATTATAACACAAAAAAGGAGCAAAATACGATCAAAATTTCATTTTAAAATTAATTAAATATTAAATCAATTTTGTCCACAAATTTTCAGAATTATCATTACTATTGTTACCATTATTTACTAATCTTATTATTTTACCGATTGTTTAAATAACTATCTTCAGTGTCTTTATTTTCTCTTAATATAAAAAATTATAAATCTCAGCACTTTAAAAAATTATGATTTTTGTACAGTGATAAGGTACTTAAGATGACACATGACCCATCATGCACCTCCACCGAATTTACCCTTTCAGACATCTTTAAGTGCCAGAGGACAACATAGTGTCTTTGCCCCAGAGGTGGCAGTGGCATAAACACAACTATAACTCACTAGCTCAATCTTTCGTCCACAAAGCAGATTTGCAAGTCCTACTTCCCCCTCCATTCGAAATACGTCGTTCTACGCGTAAAAGCACAGCAATGCCAAGTCATGCCCTTCGTCTGCCAAACTCTAGAACTAGAACGCTTGATAGAAGCTTCATCCATTCTTCAGTCCCGGTTTGGAACTCTCTTCCAGACAGTGTAGTGGGGAATATTGCTATAGCGGCAATTCAGAATTTCAAGTGCAGAGCGCACACACACTTACAGTACCTCAAACCTCACTTTTCAGATAAAAATCAAAATATATTAAAAATAAATAAAAAACCAAACAAGCAAGAAACTAAGCTTTCCAAAAATTTTTTTTCTGTTTTTACTTTCGGTTGCAGCGAACCATTGATTGGCCCATCGGTGTGTTTTTCGCAACCGGTGTGGCCCCTGTTCGCAAGTGCACTCTATTAAAAAAAAAAAAAAAAAAAAGTGGACTTCATCAGGAGACTGAATGTTAAAGGGGGCGCCGTTTAAAAACTCGAACATGGTTCTCTAGAACTACCCACAGGCATATTTATTTTTCGTAGGTAAGTTTGGTAAAATTTTATGAATTATTCATACCTCGTCTCACAGATCATATTTTGCGCATGCGCTACAGTACTTTCAAGTCCGTGTCAGCCCATGGTCAGCCAGCTTGATATCAGCAGCTGCTCTGTACATTATCGCGATAGGACCCAGAGGTGACGGAACTAGGGGGTGCTGTGTTATGGAGAGTAATGTGTGACCGGAAATGGTCTGCAGTCAGTTAGTTGTTACCATGCGCCAGTGATGTTGGAGTATATAGTACAGCAACTGTCTCTTATACACATCTAGATAACTATTATGTAGGCCTAATGAATGAATAAAGTTCGGAGTTTGTCGGGTAGTGAAATGATTATTTCACATTTTAAGTGCTCCCTAAATTCATAAGTGTAAGCTAAATTACGGTAATTAATTTATTTATCGAAGATATGGAGACAATTATTTCGAATCCCTCTTTCCACGAGGGGATGCAAATGCTTTGTGAAAATGAGTACGCTGCAGTACTCATTTTCACAAAGAAATACATACAACTGGTTAGCTAACAATTATGTCAATGTTACATGAACACCTGGGAAGGAAGGTGCAATCACGTTGTTACCTAGCAAACGTCTGTACTGTATGGGGAGGGGCTGCTGATGTACTGTGTAGCGGGGGACGATGAGGCATAAGACTAGGCCTAGGCCTAACTAAGACATTTGAATTATATGTGATAGAAAGTACACTTTCGGAAGAAATAAATTAAAATAAGAAAAAAAAAATAACTAAGAATAATTCATTTGCAGAGGTACCTTATTTAAGTATTATACAATGCTAAAAATGCGGCTCTTGTAGCCCTGGTTTGAGCAAGGCATCCATGTGCAAAGCACTGGTGTTTGTTTATCCATGAAAAAAGCACGCCGGGAAAGTTTGCCTCACCAGAACTCTCTTCCAGACAGTGTAGTGGGGAATATTGCTATAGCGGCAATTCAGAATTTCAAGTGCAGAGCGCACACACACTTACAGTACCCCAAACCTCACTTTTCAGATAAAAATCAAAATATATTAAAAATAAATAAATAAATAAAAAACCAAACAAGCAAAAAACTAAGCTTTCCAAAAAATAATTTTCAGTTTTTACTTTCGGTTGCAGCGAACCATTGATTGGCCCATCGGGTGTGTTTTTCGCAACCGGTGTGGCCCCTGTTCGCAAGTGCACTCTATAAAAAAAAAAGAAAAGAAAAAAAAAGTGGACTTCATCAGGAGACTGAATGTTAAAGGGGGCGCCGTTTAAAAACTCGAACATGGTTCTCTAGGACTACCCACAGGCATATTTATTTTTCGTAGGTAAGTTTGGTAAAATTTTATGAATTATTCATACCTCGTCTCACAGATCATATTTTGCGCATGCGCTACAGTACTTTCAAGTCCGTGTCAGCCCATGGTCAGCCAGCCTGATATCAGCAGCTGCTCTGTACATTATCGCGATAGGACCTAGTTTTCAGCTCTAATTGTATGGGCCTGGTATTTGAATCAGTGCAAAAATAAAACCAGTGATTTAATTGACTCAGTTTATTCTGAAATGTAATACATTAGCCTAAATTTACTATGAGGAACACATAGCTGCAACATTATGGAATTTCCCTATGGGGCTTGAGTGTGTGTTCCATATGTGCTTTATCCAGTGATCCGGGGGTAATAATGTTCAAGCGCTTCGAGGTTGTGTCAACGGGAGGCGCTATATAAATCCAGAATTATTATTAGTATTATAAAATTACGTGATAATAAACATGATGCTAGCATCGATCGAAGCCTTCGCGTTTAAACCTTGTCTACCTTAAAGCAGACAGTGGTGCATGGCTTGTACAGACAATATACAAACAATGGGCCTTGCATTTGAATAATTTATGCAAGTAATAAAACAAGTGATTGATTTTACTTAGATGATATTCTTAATTATAATACATTACATTCACTGTCAGCCTGCAAATACAAAAGTAAAATAGTTGTTAAATTAAAAATTATTAAAATTCCACTGTGTAAGCTAAGGCTTCGCTCGATGCTGGCATCATATAAAATAAATAAATAATTTATATCGTAATTAGCCCTATCCAGTGGCGGATAATTTAGCAAAGGGGAATGAATATTGCGAGGTGTGAAGCACCGAAATGTGGGAGGGGGTTAACTCCCCTCCCATTGAGATTTTTTTTTTTTTTTTGTTTTGTTTTTTGAAATGGCATCTCATAGAAAGTGTATGTTTTACAGGGTAGCCTTCTATACTACACGTAAATGTATTCACGAGAAACACATGTTTAACAGTGACAGAAGGTGGGTGGCTATCCACCCTAGATCCGCCACTGCTATCTATCATTATTCGTATCAGCACCGGGCGAAGTCTACGACAGTGGAGATTCCTTCAGTTTGCTGTTGAACATTACAGTATAGGCCTCCTTCTTCTAAACTCTTCCACCTCTTTTGTGAGAAACCTAATGTCCAAAAAAACAGGTTTGCGAGATAGGCTTGCCCAAAACAATTTTATTGCATTTTCCGGATATTTTGGGTATGCTGAATCCAAAAACGCAAAGGTCCATTTTTTCCGAGATTGTCTTGACGGCCATTTTGGAATTTCAAAATGGCCGCCATTTATACAGTAAAAGTAAACATAACTGCGCTATTAGAGTAGGTATCGACATGATTTTGGTACCAAACCCTATATTCTCAATGTTAACCTGTCCAATGGTGATATTCTCACAAACCATTAATTGCAGCCATCTTGAATTTCAAAATGGCTGCCAGTTTGAAAGTAAAATAGCAATAACTGTGCTATTAGAGCCGGTATCAACTTGATTTTGGTAGCAAACCATAGGTTTTCGATGTCAACCTGCCCAATGGTCATATTCTCACGAATCATAAAGGCGGCCATCTTGAATTCCAAAATGGCTGCCATTTTCACAGTAATAAAAAACAAAACTGTGCCATAAGAGCAGGTCAACATGATTTAGGTAGCCAAACCCTGTGTTTTCAATGTCAAGCTGCCGAATGGTGATATACAAATGGATCAAGAATGGTGGCCATTTTGAATTTCGAAATGGCCTACAAATTTCTAACACAAACTGCTTAGTTTTTTGCGAAGTAATGTCAATTATTAATTGCAAAACCCAAGTTTTAATTGCAAACCTATCAACAAATTAACATGTCTAATGGTTATATTCCAAGTGGAATCATACATTGCCTGGACCATGAAGACAGAAAGACAACACATGTGAAGTACCAAAGAGAAATCCAAAAGGGGCTTTTTAATGATTCTGTATGTCAGTGGTTTATCGGAAAAGATCAGATCGAATGAGCACACACAACTTTAATACATGATTCAGACATCAAAATAAGTTGAGAGAACTAGTGCATCCGAAAAACAAGATTCCATGAGCAAACACTCACCTTAGAGTTATTATGTGGTCATTGCGACCAATAGTAAAAGGTTTGACTACTTAGGTGAACGTGAAATGAGGTTGAAAAATATAAATAAAGGGGTACGAACTAGAGCTAACATGGGTTCTTCTTAATGAGACATGCACAAATCAGCAATCACTGGACATATGGTCACACACAACCACATCCCAGATTTGAAATACTACAAGTTACAGGGGGAACTGATGTCGGCAGTAGATGAATAAGGATCTAAATGGTTCAGAAGTAAAGACAATAATATTAACAGAGACGAGGGAGTACACCAATTGTCGCATGTGTTTGAACAATTTTTGTCGACCCACAACAAAACCCAGGGAC